GTAACAATAAATACGCCGCCCAATAGAATGAGGCACATCAGTGCCTTTCAGGAAATCTTAACAGAAATTGGGTCACTAGATTCTTTGGAGCAAAGATGAAAGCTCTGCATTCATTCACAGCCACACTCAGCAGCAGCTCCCCCCTGTTACTTGAAAGAGCATGCAGGGCCTGGAGGCAGCAACAAGTTCTCCAAGAAGAGCTAAAACACAGAAAAATCTTCTTCTACCCTTTAGCCTTTTAATGGAAAAGAAACCTTACCAAAAATGGTGAGTCCTGGGATAACAGCAAAACCAGGGCTAACACTTCAAAATATTCACATTGCTTCAAATTAAATAGTACTGACTAAAGTAAAACAAACCTCATCACACCCTACTCTCTAAGATACCCAATGCTGATTCCCAATATTCATTGACTCTGAGCTGATTTAAAACAAATTAAACTGAAAATACCAAAAGAATAGCTTTTTTCTGTTTATGATAACAGTCCTGTATTATGAGCAATACTAATGTTAAACAATGGTTAAAATTTTTAAGGATCCATCTGTACTATGAATAAAAATCAGTTAAAAAATATCTGCATTTAGAAAGCATCCACATACTGAAATACAGTATAACCCTGAGTAATGTGGATTTGCTGTAATTATGCTTAGATTACTCTTGAGGTAATTGGTGCTACAGAAGTTACACTTTCATTATTTCTTTTCTTCCTATTCTTCACACTCACCAAACCCAGTAATGACTGTCATGAGTCAGAGATAATTATATCAGACTTATTTGTCAGAGTCAGGTTTGTACCGTGGGTAACACAATCCTGATTCAACAGCTTCAGCATCTCTGAGACTGAAATGAATACAGCTCAAAGTCCATTCTCATCTGTTACTCTGCCTTTGATGCCTGTAGCAGACAGAAACTCAATTCTGCACAGCCTTTCAACTTTTATCCATATTTAACCACTTGCTAAAAAAAAAAAAAGAAAGTAGAGGAGCAACAAATTATTGTCTCAGTTCAGCTAGAGCTATTGCTGTGTGGACTCCATGGACTGCCATCTGTTAAAAAATGGATCTATAGAAGACAGAAAAGAGAGGCAACACAGGCGGGAATTGTACCCAGCATCAGCCTCACGGCAGCTGCAGATGTGCACAGCACACTTACAGGTCTGCACCACTACTGCCACTCTCCTCAGAGAAACCAAATGGGGTGCCAGTTTCCTACTGGTAAGGTAATGATCCTGGGAACACAAGTGTTGGGAGGGCAGGGATGTAAAACAGCACTGCAGGCCTCCCCACTGCCTATGTGTGGGCTATATTATTGAAGGGAAATGCTGCTTTTGTTCTCTCCACTCATAAATATTATGGCCTCTCTCCTGAGGCTGCTAAGGCACAGCTGGTAGGTGGGGTGATGTCAGACAAGCATGGCACAGCTCACTGTGGCACCTTTCCAATGAAGGCCAGCTACACTACCTTGAACTTCCCTGGATGGGTGAGCATTACCCGCTGATCGAAACCAAAATACAGAAGATGAGACCAACAAACCAGTTTGGTTCAGAGATAATTACAACTTCATTCAACTTGCATCTACAGAAACTGTCAGTGAACTTAATTAGTGGTTTGTGTCAGTGTCAGCGCGCATATGATACACACTTCCGTCAAGCTCCCTGGTGCTTCATCTTCCATTTCCCCTGGCATGAAACATGGCAAGTGGTACAATTCGTGGTCTTTAGCAGAGGGCACAGGAAAGAAACTGACTGCCGCACTGAATATACTGACTTCTCCTCATGCATGGGCTGCTGCCATACCAGCAAGGGCTCTGAGGATGATGCAGCCCTATTTTAGATGAACTGAGAATGTCAGCCCCTAAAAGTTATCAAATGATCTTCTATCTTTAGGAAGCATAAAAGGCACCTCAGTGTAAAGAAAGAATGTGATACAATTTAAAGTCCTCTCTTTCCCTGGACTTTCTGACTCCCGAGGACAAATAGGGCCTTATCTACAATCCAGAAAGAGATCCATTTGTAATCTGCACCTGCTTTACATCCCAATGCTTGGCACAAGGCAATGAAAGCTTGTCTACTGTTAATGTGAACTGCCTTCATTGCAACAGAGATGAAACGTAAATATTCAGAAATAAATTTGTAAGAAAATCATGAGGCTTTTTATAGCTTTGATACATCTGACTGAAAAGAAAAACAGTTTCAACTGCATGCCCACATTAGCAAATAAAGAACACACATATTTTGTTGTGAAACAGGGGGACCACAGTAGTGAGACTGAAAGCTACTAATTATTCCATAGTGGCAAAGAACCAGGTCACCTACTGGCTTGGGAAGGCTTTGTTTGTTTATTTGTTTCTTAAGAACAAACAAACAGGACATACAATCAAGAGCACAGCAATGACATTGGGCTGCCTGCCTTGGGTTGCTGACCTTTCTACTCCTCACTCCTTTGTGGTTCATCTTTAGGGTTTAGTTTTGTTAAGGGTATGAAACACAAGTTTCCATTTCCTGGTAGAGTAATTTAAAAGAGGAGAACCTGGAAAATAGAATCCTCAAATCAATCTTGAAAACGAGAATCTTTAAATCAACACCAGTTATGGTAGTCATAAACATGATAGCTATAAAAGCTTTTTTTAAAAAGTGGTCGTTTCCTAAAAAGGAAAAGGATAACTTATGATATATGCACTTTAGATATTATTTGTAGGCTGTGGGCACAGCTGACTTGAAAGGAAAGGATGACTTAAAACCTTAGAACCCTCCAGACATTCTGCCTTCATTTTTAGATTCTCTCATTGCTTAGATTCCAACTTGTTTTTGTTTTGTTTACAAAATGATCACATTGTTTCATTAAAAACTGCCTAGTAACAACTTGGCTGTGAGACTGAAAAATAAATAAATAACTTTAAAAAGCAAACCGAATCAGAAGAATCATTGCCCAAGGACTTCAAATTCAAACGAGAAATGTTTAGCTCAGGGACTTGTATTTTCAATTTCTTTCCTAGTGTAAGTATACAGCAGTGGGCTACCTAAAAGTGTATTTTTAATGTATGGAAGACCATCTGTGCTTCATGGCCTATATAAAATGAATGGGGAAATTTTAAGTTGAGGTTCCAAATATGCAGAATACAAATCACACAAATGGCACTGAAGCTCAAACCAAAACTCTTTCCCAAAATAATTTGGGAAAGACAGGGCTTGAAAACAGAATCATCTTTGCATGTCTCAAAAGCTGCTCATTTCAGATTAGTAGAGAGGCCTTTGGCAAAAAAGTACGAGTGAACACATATCCTATCTCTAGACATATCTGATACTTTTCTTCGTTTGTTTTTCCCTTTTGTCAATTACAGTTTCAAGTCTTTCACACCAGTTAGCCTCAGTTTCATTCTTGTCCATGAAAAAAAAAGGTCAGGCTGAGTTTTGTTCTAACATGTACTTTCATTTCTGCAGATGATCCTGTTTCCTTGAAGGCAAGCAGTTTCACAGCTTCTGTTAAAGTCAACGAGGACAAAAATCAGGAGTGAGGGCAAAAGTCTTGAGAATTATCTACAGTGATTGAATAGAAATCCCTGTAGATAATTACTGAAGTTAGCAGAAATTTGGTTCAAATCCTACCAGAACATCAGAGAGAGGCAACCAAGCGGTTGGCTCTAAGTGCAAAGATGGCTTAGGAAAATAACTTTAGAGAAAAGGTGCCAGGGCATTCCATTAGGGCAGAAATACTGAATCATGTTCAGTCCTCAAGAGATATACACAGCTTTCAGTAATTCAACACAAGCGCAAACCACTATCAAAAGATTTAAGAGAAATTCATTATCCTTCTGAGATTTGACCATGGTAAATGAGAGTTTTGAGGGGCTTATGCTATAGGTACCCTGGACAAGAGCCTGAAAAGAAGGGAAGGTTCAAGCTATAAATACTAATGAGGAAAGATCAGACATCTTTCAGTTGGCTAAACAATCAGCTCAGGAGAGTCAGGATCCTTCCTTCTCTATTCTTTGCACATTTTTGATATATCAGAACAGAGTATAAGGCAACATCAGTTCCCCTCTGCTCCAATGTAACTAAAGATGGGCATATTTTTTTGAACACAAACAACAAAATCTTTCTCTACCACCAAATATGTTAAACATCTCATAAAATGGCATTGCATTCCTTTTTTCATTGAGGAAGGAGGAGCTAACTGGCTGCTGCAGTTAGCAGGAAATTCCATTGACAATAAAATAAATAAATCAACCAATCATCTCAAAAGCCTATGATTCAATTATATGGGTTACAAAGAGCTTGAATTTGACAGTCGAATGTGTTCTTCTCTAAGATTTATCTGTGAACTTCCAATTAGAGAACTGAAGTGGAATAAACTACTCAGTGAAAATGAAGATATCCGGAAGGAAAAAATAATTAATTCAGTATGGCATAACACAAAGACTGTCTGGTGCCCATAAAAACAACAGAAGTTAACCAGTTCAGAAGCAAAAAAAAAAGGGAGGAAAGCTGCTTTACTGTTTATGGATCTGACAAAAGCCACAAACTCTGGGCTGTGAGTTTGCAAATGCAGAGACAGAAGTGTTTGAAGGCAGAAGGCAGCTAGGATTTAGCCAGTTCCTCATCTAGAATGTATCAACAAGGGCTAGAAAAGCCTGAGAAATTCTACTGATGAATCAACAACTTCCCTCTAAATGACCTAAAAGCTATTTTCTGTGGGTTTTGAAACGAGGGGGATTTTTGCCTGGGACAACTTGTGTTTCAACACCTCAGTGACAGAGGAGTGAGATTTAAAAAGAAAAAAGAGATATTATACAATAAGACTGTTGAAGTCTATGACAATAGATTTTGAAGATTTCAAACGCAAGTTAAAGATTCTTAGCACACAGAAGAGAGCATCACAAGGTCAGTGATACATTTGCTGTTAAGGAAATTGCCAGGTAAATCAGGATATTTCAGTACTGCAATGAAAGAATTTAAATATTAAATGACCCTAGTGGGGTATATCACAATGACAGGTACTTACATTACAATTGGAAGACCCATCAAGTGTCGAGTAAGAGCCATCAGGCCATTCTGTAGCATCTACAGCACTTGATTGCCTGTGCTGGGCTTCATACTCTTTCAGCTGAAATTTGAAAAGACAGAAAGAACATTTTCCAGTGACAAGAAGAGATCAATCTTCATTAAAATACCAAGAGTTAATGTAATTTCATTCTTTCCCCCTGTATCATTGTGGATCTGGGAAAATCTGAATTTTTCCACTACACATCTCACTCATTCAAAATAAATTGTCCAAAAATCGGAAATAAGAAAAATGAGTTGCTGGGGTTTTTTTCTTAGAAGGAAATGACCTGTAAATACTGAAATTTGATGACCTATTGTTGGTAAAACATAAATTATATGTCCCCATCTCAGTGGACAGACTAAATCACAATGACCTGCCAATTTCCTTCATAAAGAAAATGATCTGCATTAAAGACTAGGAGCCATTCTTTGTAAGAAAAAAAAAAGAAATCTCTCCCATTGTCCAATAAAAGGCTTCAGACAAAACCATTACTAGAGGAGTCGAAGTGTTGTAAGGATAAGAACTGATATTTTAAAAAATAAGGCTGTTGCTAGTAGCTCAGACCACTAGAGGGAAACTCTACCAGTCCATAGATGAACTATCAGATTAGGTACAACCCTTTCACCCCACAAAACTTTAACAGCAGAGAAGAAGAACTATTCCTGATATTCCAACACAGTAATTTTAAAGTCTTGCAATTTTCAGTATATGATTTCCAGCTAAGCGATATTTTATTCAGACAATAACATAAATTTATATTTTACAATAATCTATTTCACAATGTAGTATGTCAGTAAAGATATTTATCTGACTGCCAACCAATCTAAATGATGTTTTCTCCAATGGAGCCCATACAGAACATCCTGTGTTCCATGACAGTATTTTACACAAAGGTTGTGTTGAAACTTAAATCCTCTTTTGGTTCCTGAGCAATTAAAACCTTGGCCCTATTGCTGCACAAATGCAATACTTTATAGCTCTTTTTCTTGTGGTTTATTAACATTTAGAGTTTGTAAAGAAACACTTGTGACAGCCACCCCACTTATAAAAAATATCTGTGTTTTACATCTGACATAATGACATATGTAAAAAATGGGTGAAGATGTTTTCTTGAATGTTATATAAGCAAAAAAAAATCTCCTTTTTGGCTAAGAAATAGGCATAAAAATTTTACCTTAAAGGAAAATAGTAAGAAATATATATGTTCTCTATTGAGTAAGGCAAGTTCAGCAAAACCTGAAGCATTTCTGTTGGTACTTAAACCTATGAACATAATAAGTAAGAGCTAGTACAAGTCAGAGAGATTCTTCTCCCTCACTTTAGACAGCTGCAATGAAAAAGTCTACACTTAATCTTTTCTCTGATTAGTACTTTTATTGTTAATGGAGAGAAGCAATGCTTTTAGGACTCAATATACCACGTACTGGCTATCAATTTCTGGTTGAGTGAAATCTCACTTTTCTCAATAAACAAAGGAATTCCTACCTAATTTATGCTACCTATTGCAATGGGGCAAACAGGCAGGCCTTCTCCACCTTCTCCTATGTTTTGTGAACGAAATAAAACTCCAGATTGATACATCCTACTCTCTAAAACATGTCTGTCAAGGAGACTGAAGCATGCACATATCATACCCTAGCAAGTGCTTCCTCAATGGTGATCATCTTCTCTTTCACCATCATCATCAGCTGGATCCGTTCCTCATCACTCATTGTGATCTCGCTGGCCACATAACCAACATCTTCTCCTGCACAAAAAAAGCACAAATATTGTAAGAATTAATGCACAGGGCAGGGTACATTGAAACTGGATTTTACCCAGTGCTCTAAAATCTTGTTGTCACGTGGATCTGGCAGACCAGAAAAGCACCCTCCCTAGAGCAGGCTGATGGTATGTTTTCAATAGACTGACTGATTCCGAAGTAACTGAGCAATAAAAGGAAGCAATTTAGAACTAAAAAACAAAGTCTACTTTGATACTGAAAGCAAGGACGCAAAGGAGAAATAAAAACTGACCGTCATCACGTGGCTATTGACCCTGAAAGACAAGAATTAAAGGAGGAGGTGCTAATGCTGGAAAAGTCAAGCACTCAGCCCTGAGGATTACTGGAATCAGCTGCCAGAACTTGCCTGTTCAGGAATGTTGAGCTGGGCCCTTGCAGCTCTCTGCTGTGGACTGGCCACTGCTTGTGATCTATCCAGACTAGCTAATCACCTACTAATCTGGCACATGGTGCCAGATGTACTGCACCCTCAGCTACCTCTCCTTCTGCTATGTGCTTGGCATGCCAGCACAGACAGAACCTGCCTTGAGAACCAGCAAGGACCCACACTTAACTGCAAGTGTGTCCCTTCTGGACCTACTAAATGGGCTTTTATCATCTTTCACAATCTACCTGAACAGAGAGACATGGGGAAGCATCTGTTTGCAACATAAGAAGCGAACTGATACACATGGGGAAACAGAAATTTTCTGTGCAAAGAGAAACACTCAATGCAATCCACAGCCGCATCTTTTGCAGGAGAACTAGAGAAAGACACCTGACAGTTTAAGTGGAATCAAGCCTACATTTGCACTGGTCACCAGAGACACTTTTACTGCTCCTTCTCGTAGTGTCTTCTACTATGACAGGCTGGATTCAAGACTAAAGCAAACAGGTCAAGGTAACAAAATGCCAAAGAAAGGAGAAATATCCTTCTAATTTAAGCAGAACAGTATTCCTCTTACCAAGTCAGGACTAGGGGGGAAAAAAAAAGGCATCTTCTTTAGATACATCTATCACTTATATATTAACTGCACCACTTCACATGTGTGCCATCACTGGCAGTAAGGACCAAAGGCAGCCCAGCTTCGTGTCTGCAGTCTCAAGGATTTGACTTGTCATTCTGAGCACTGTCACAATGAACCAAACCTGTGACACTTCCAGAGCCAGAGACCCCAGCTGCCACACTATCAAAAATGCATTTTATCCCTTTGTGATGCTGGCTCCTTATGTTTTATATGGATAGCATGTGCACTACTGAAAAAACTTTACCTTTTGAAGTCTGCCTCATTAGTCCTTTCTGGTTCTTTCGGAAATTCTGCCAAAAAAACTTATTTTTCTTTTTCCAGTCTGCTTTCCCTAAAAGGAAAGTGGAGTGGGAGGATGAGGGGAAAGGGAAAAACAATTTTAGAAAGAAACATTAGTTAGTAAATTCTAGAGACACTTTCAAACATTACATTCCATTTTTAAATCAGAAACAAGAATAAAAAACCCTCAAATTTTCTGGCTTTCTTGATTTATTCCATACTAGAACTAAGTTTATGTAGCTATTTCAGGGCAATGCACATTCTTTTATAATTGCCAATGCTATAGAAGATGGAGTTAAGCCAGTAACTTACATATTTTGAATTATAAATATAAAATATTTTACATCAATTTTGATGTCTCTTGAGTTGTTAATGTCAAGTCTGGAAGTCTTTGAAGCATTTCGTTGGTTTGTTCTCTTTAACTGAATCACAACTATGCAGCCTAAGCCATGACCTAGGTAAGTTATTTTCTAGTATATCTGTGCATATCTATCAAGAAATGAAAAAATTAACATATATATACATGCACATGCACACACACACATGTTCTGCTACTTGGCATGAGATCATCAGCTACACCTGACCCTTGCTCTCAGTATGCCTGGACTGTACAGGGCTGGGTCTCTATGTCCACAAGCACCAGATTTCCATATGGATTGATGACCTCAAACTAAATAATTTGCTCTAGAAAGACAAAAGGGACCTAGCTCAAAGTAGGGCATATATATCCGTATTCTGTTGAATTAACCAGGGCACATGCTATAAAGTTTATGCCACCTACAAATGAACATACTGTGCCTGATCTGGCAGAAATGCTACTGACAAAGAGCTGTTAGTATTTAAGATCTCGCCCTGCATGACCTAGAGTTGAGCTTCCTGACTCTCTGAAATACTGCTTAAGTTTAGACTGTGTGGACATGTCCCTAGAATAGCATTAAAAGGAAACAAAAAAGAAAAACCTCCTAAATTTATTTTTCTTTTCCAATAAGCAATTTCAGAAACAAAGAAAGAAACTCTGGCATGATACAAACAAAAATAACAAAGAACCTCCATTATTTACTGGTGGTGGTAATTTTTGGAATACAAAAGGACAGGCTAGCTGTGATCTAACATGCAAACATTTTCAGTTCAATATAACAAGTCAAAAGATGCATATTTATCACATGATAATGCTGGCTGGGCAGTTTCAGTGATCGCTGAGACACTCAGCATCAAACTGAAAGCTGCTGAGACTAGCCCTCCACACGCACAAATGTTGCTGACTTCTGCCAGCTCTTCACATCCCAGCACAAGCGAAACTCAAAAGCTGTTTAAGAATTCCATAGGAGTATCAAATAAAATGAAATATACTGACCTACAGAGCCTTCTTCTGAACTTGATTTATGAATGGAGAGCCTAGGACACAAAAGAGAAATGGACTTATTGATGCAGGCTTTTCACATTTCAGGGGAGTTGTCTGGTTACAGTAAATTATAGTTCCCAAACAATATATCATGAGCTGCTTTCTCTTCCCTTTTCTCCCCAACACAGCAAGTTGGAAATGAAAACTGAACCTACTGGTCTGACCACAGTAACTGAGTTTCCTTCTGAAATGAGCCTTTTGTGACCAGCATAGAAAAATATATACTGACAGAAACCAACAGTAAAGGCAAAGGAGTCCAAGGATTCCTCAGAAAAACAATTATTCACATAGTTTCCCCACTTGCATTTGCAAAACAGTAATTTTGCTGCCTTAGAAACTGTAGAACTGGGACACTGCACTTGTTTAGCTGTACATCAATTTTCAGCCTATTTGGTTTTTATCTGACAATCTGTGTAAGTATGTGCTCATTACACCTCCAGAAGCCACCATGTGGAAGACAGCAGTAGAGATTTAAAGACAAGGTGGAGAAAGTTTGTCCAGACCCTATGAAGTGCAACCATAACTGACTGGAGACTACAGCTTCTCCCAAATCCCTTCTGTGTGTGCTTGCTCACCAGTGTACGCTCCCTTCCTCAAAAGCTAGCTGGAGAGACTTAGCCAAGGCCAGCACATGGGCTTTACAAACAACTCACTAAAATAGCAAATATATCTTTTGTTCTTGGTCTTTATGTTCACTGAACCAGTTTTCCACAATGGATTCCAACTCAGTGCCAACAGTTCATTGTGGGATCTCTGATGAGACAACATCACCCCGCTTCACTGCCTTTTTATTCTGTCTGCATAAATGGAGCTAACAGAAATTACCAAACCTTGCATTATTCTTTGAAGCCTTCCTGTGGGAACTGCCATTTAACCACGCTGCAGCAAAGCAGTGAACGACTTCTGCAAGCATCAAGGGCTTTGCTGGAGGCTCCACGTGCAAAGCATCACTGCGGTGTCTTTGCTGCGGGCTCGGCCCCGTGACACACCAATGTCCCATTGTGCGGTGGCTGTGCTGCAGCCAGGCACGATGGAAACACACACACCACAGCGTACCAAGCAGACCTCAAGCCAAATCATTCCCTGAATGAGGCCATATAATAACACACACACGACACACTCTTGTTGCTGTCCGTGCGCACTGTCTGCACGGGCTCCCTGAGCTCTCTCGGACCCCCGGCAGAGGGCAATAAAGAGTTTCTGATCAATTCACTAAACCACTTGAAGGGAAATTACAGTTCAAGCCAGGTCGGTGTTTAGAAGAAACACGCAATTACTGGCCAACATCTTATAAGCAGGAAACACATCAATTTGCAAAGGTATCATTAAAGGGGAAACGAGACAATACAAAGTTTCAGGGTCATTCAGTAATTCATCTGAAATACTCAGACTGCTCAGAAATTTAGTCCAACACAAACTGCAAACTAATTAAGGCAAACAAACTTCAAATTTTTAGTGCACCACGAGGAGGGAGACATTTAGTGTCTTCCTTGCTGGTGTTTACTCTTGAAGGGGAAAAGTCAATAATATACCAGCAGATGCTTCATTTTTAAGAAGCCTGGTGAAAGGTGGAAAATACAAACCCCATACTTTCGGGATGAAAATTTCCAGCAAAAGAGTAAAAGCCCTTCAACAGCACCAGGAATTAATACAGACACTTCAAAGTAAAGTTTTCAGCAAGTATTTTTCTAAATAAAGGTAAATCAGATAAAAAAATGACGTGGAGTTGGAGATTTTTCTTTTTATGAAAGTCAAGCTCGGTTGGAACTGACAGAATTAATCCGCTACATTTTTTGCAGATGAGCATGGACTCCACTCATCAAGCAGTTATTCTATTTATTTTAAATTAATTTAGTATCCATGAATTGTACCAAATCACTATCCTCAGAAAATGAAATCTGTTAATGATCATCAGAACTCTGCCTCACTAGTGAAATCACCCTTAAAGTGGAAAGGCAGTCTCTTGTGCTCTGTGGCCTCCAAATCCATTTTTATCCTTTTCTTCTCTTGCACAGTTGCCAAGAACGATGCAAGTAAGCAGCAGGTGTAGCGGCAACATTTGTGATGTGGACATCTGTTCAGTAAGAGTTAGCCTGAGGCACCAACTCATCATAAACTGGCCTCCAAAGAAGGGGAAGGGCAGTCGGAGCAAACATCTGACACACCCGAACTAGAGGGGGCAAGGAGGAAAGCAGGATCCACAGCAAGCAGACCACTTCTCATTTATAACTGATTTAAGAACTATGCTGAGTTTCATCAGAGGATGCAAATTCCAATTATCATTTCATGCATTCCTTCAAGAGGAAATCTTCCATGCCTGGGCTGACCTTGAAAATGCTAGCAGCTGCTCTGAAGAGATGGAAATGCCAACAAAACTTACCACATAGTGCCTGATAAGGCATTTGCGTTTCAGCTCCACCTGACAATTCTGATGCTTAAAAATCCTCAGTGAAGTCAATCAAGCATTTTACTTGCTAGATGTCTGGTGAAAAACTCCAGACTACCTTGGTGTCGCTGTATGTTTGATTTGCAAATTACACTCCCTTACTCTGTTAAATCAGCAGCGCTTCTGTAAACGTGCCCTGAAAGTGATTTGTGTTCTTCCATTCATAGACTGATAACTTGTACTGAAAGTTAATGATGCAGTGACACTTGGCAGAAGTTTCAGCACTGTGTGTCTGAAAGGGAGCCAAATGCCATTACTCCACCATGGAGGCCTTCATTTTTGTTGTGGTCTGATGTACAACTTCATTAGCAAACTTTCACATGAAATGCACTCTGTCACTGCATAAAGCAGAAGAAATGTATGGGTATATGTTCACACAATGAAGAACAAAACAAGATTTACAGCCAGAGGGAAGGAGTATTTTCTTATCAACCCATAATCTCTGGAAGCAGGCAGGAGAGGGGGTCAAAGCTTTAATTCATTAATCTCACAAACCCAAAACCATCTCTAGGCCAGTACTTTGTGCCTCTTCAAGCCAAAGTGCTGAAATAAACAAATAAGAAAAAACCTCACAAAATCCAAAACAGAAATGGAGCTACTTTTTAGAGTACTCAAATATTACCGCCTTAGAGAGTTGATGGGTTTGAGCAGAATTTAGCAAACTACATCAGGCCACTAAGTGATCAGTGACACAAAATTTAGTAGCAACAGCTGGAGCAGAGAACCTGGACCAGGAACTTGTTGACTAGAAGGACTGGCTTAACAGAAATGAGTTTACATTCAACATTAGAGTGTTCAAGTACACAAGACAGACACAAAAGTCAGTCTTTCAAATGCTGGAGGTCTGCAAATGACAGAGTACCTGGGGATATCAGGTAGAAGAGGATGACTGAGAAAAAAACCTACATATTATTCCTTAAAGGCATAAGGATGGAAAATTCCAATGGCAGTAGGAAGACTATGAAGAACTATATATGGGAATGGCTGTACAACCATCATTATTCCTGTTCAAGAAAGATAAATTCAAACTAGATATGGTATAGAGAAAGCTGTTAGAATAGCTAGGGAACTGGACAGCTGATCTTACAAAAGAAAGCTACAAAGTTTTGCCTGTCAAATTGGAAAGCTGCAAGAAGATTAACTTACTGCCTATTAATAAATCAGGCACAAGAACAAACAGACACATGCTGGAAAAAATTAGAAAAAAGAAGCTAACATTTCCTAACTATTTGGACAAACTTCCAACAGTAGGCAGAGAAAGGGAGAACAACTTAAAAAACTTATTTAACTGCTTTTACAGAACGCTGCTTGAAAGATAAGAGACCAGACCAGACGAAACATCATCATAAGGATTGCCTCTGGAGGGCACTTTTGGTTCTTGTTTTGCAGCCTGGGGGCTCTGTAAGAGCAATGTCAAAGCCTGACATCTAAAATGGTCTCTGAACTACCTTTCCATGAAACTGCTGCAGTGGGGATAACACTGTTACACCTAAGCAATACCTTTGAAACCTGGAGGTGGTCTCCAAAACTTGGTGCGCAAGGAAGACCAAATGCACACATTTGGTCACAAGCCAGCCAAGCCTGTCTGATTATTAAGACTGGTTTTAGCTAGGCTACAGCTTTCCAGTTAATACTTTACTGATTCTGATCTCAGACAGAAAAACACTGGGGCTAATCTTTCATAGAGAGTGGTTGATATTACAAGAGACATAGTCATACGTGCCCCAGGAACGTGCTGGTACTCCACAGAACTGGGAACAGAAACAAATGACACCATGCCCTGCTTTCATGAATGTGCCTGTTGATTTTTGAAATCTCATCATTCCCAAAACAGAACAAATATGGGAAGTGAGAATGATGGGCATTTATATTTTAAATGCAGATGTGCTTTAACAAATGCCTGTGTCTCATTTATGGGCCATAAAATCCACAGGTGCATAGCAGCGTATGATGATGAAACCACTGCTGTTACCATCTTCAATAAACTGACAGTGCCCCTCTCATTCCTTACCAATGATTACTTATAGTACTCTTTGGAAAATGGTATAGATGGGAATTTTAGTATATGAAATTTATGCATATTCAGAGTGGTGAATAAACCAGTGCAAAAGCCCATGCTGGCTCTGCTGCAAAGCCATTTGTTTATCTGTGTGCATTAGAAATGGCCCACTTACATAATTAGTATGAAAAACTGACAGACTTGTAACTGCTCCTGACTGAATACAAGGTAATTTATCTAACTGGAGCTGGCACAGGGAAGAAAATGGGCCTTTGGTATTTTTATCAAATTTGTATGAACCTGAAGAGAAAGGAGGCCTGCAAGGTTCTGACCTTGCTGGCACCAGTGTGAGAAAGGGATGGAAAGCAAAGAGGTTTCATTCAATTATCTTCTCATTAGGTTTCCATAGCAATGGCTCTTTAAGCAGGTCAAAACTTTCTCAGTGGAAACAAACACTGAGCTGCTTGTGGGCCATGCGTGTGTATGCGTACCCTGTAGCATGGAAGCCACCACACTGGTCCCGTGGGCTTGGTCTGTGGACAGGCAGG